ATAGCAAACTTCAAAAATGAGAAAAAAGCACATGCTGGTGAGGATGTGGAGAGACTAGAACCCTCATACACTGCTGGTGGGACTGTAAAATGGTGCAAACTGTTGAAAATTCCATGACACTTCCTTAAAAAGCTAGAAATAGAAACACCACATATGATGCAGCAATCCCACTTCTAAGTATATATCCTAGAGATATAAGCAATGACACGAATAGACATATGTACACATAGACGTGTGTTCATTCATAGTAGCAAAGAGATGGAAACAGCCTAAGTGCCCATCAACAGATGAATGGATAAACCAGCAATGGTGCATACAAACAATGGAATACTATGCAACATTAAAGAATAATGCAACTATGAAACACCTCGTAACATTAATGAACCTGGAGGACATTATGCTGAGTGAAATTAATCACAAAAAAGACAAATATTGTGAGACTAATATAAAAAGTCAGGAAAAGGTTTATACACAGAAAGAAACGTTCTCTGAAGATTAGCGGGGGGGTAGGAAGGGAAAGGAGGGTAAACCGTTAACTAGAGGGTAGACCCATACTAACTTGAGTGAAGGGAAAGGCAATATATGTTAAGGGGGAGGTCAGCACAGAATGATCAAGGTACAGAAAGACATTGGAAGGAGTACAAGAGTTAAAAGCGACAAAGGTAAATACTGTTACACAATCCTGCAATAACAGTTATAATAATCGACAAGTGGATACATAGATAGACACCACAAGCTGAACAGGTGTGGGAAGGTGAATGAGACTATAGTCATGAATATATATATAGGCTTGACAGAGGATATTTCAACATATGTATTTATATGTGCTGCAAATTTACCAATGATTATAATCACTCACTGCTGTCAAGTTGATTCCAACTCATAGTGACTCCTCCTTGGGTTTCTGAGACAGTATCTCTACGGAAGTAGATTGCCCAGTCTTCGTTCCAAGGAGTGGCTGGTGAGTTTGAACCGCCAGCCTTCTGGTTAGCAGTGAAATGCTTTAGGCACTACGCTACCAGGGCTCCTAATGACCTGCTGCTGTCGAGTTGATTCTGACTCATAGCGACCCTGTAGGACAGTAGAACTGTCCCATAGGGATTCCAAGGCTGTAAATCTTTATGGAAGTAGACTGTCTCATCTTTCTCCTGCAGAGAGGTGGTGTGTTTGAACCATGAACCTTTTTGGTTAGTAGCTGAATGCTTTAACCACTGCACCACTAGAGCTCCTATAGTAAGGCATACATAAAAACTTGCTAGTCATAATCAAACACCTTGAGGAAATGAGGCATTGGGTTTTGGAGCCCAGGACCATAGTCTTGAGACATCAAGTTCAGATGGCATAGTCCACAAAGACAGTGTTCTATATCCTACTTTGGTGAGTAGCAACTAGGGTCTTAAAAGCTTGTGAGAGGCCATCTAAGGTGGAACTATTGGTGTCTCCGTCTGGAGCAAAGAAGAATGAATAAAATTATAGGTGCATGGTAACAATTAGCCCAAAGGACTACATGAACCTCAGCCTCCATGATCCTGAGACCAGAAGAACTAGATGGTGCCCAGGTACCACTACTGACTGGCTCTAAAAGGGATCACAATAGAAGATCCTGGATAGAATGGGAGAAAAATATGGAACAAAACTCAAAATCAGAAAAAAGATCAGGCTTACTGGTCTGATAGAGACAGGTGTAATCTCCTAGACTGTGGCTCTTAGTCACCCTTCAGACCTGGAACTGAACTCACCCCCATGGCTCAACTTTCAACCAAACAATAGAAGTCTATGAGGTGAGCAATGACACCAGGAAGGTACACACTCCTTAGAACAGTCAACCATAGGAGATCAAAGGGGCAGCATTTCCCCAGGAATAAAGCTCAGAAGGCAGGAAGGAATAGGAAAGAAGGACTAATGGAAATGGTAAACACAGGGAGGAAGTGGGAAGAGTGCTGTTACATTGTGGGAGTTGCAGTGTCACAAAACACAATGTGTGTGGATTGTTGAATGGAAAACCAGTTTGCTTTATAAACTGTCACCCAACATTATAAAAAGTTAAAATACAAAAATTAAAAATAAAGAGACTTTGAAAGCATTATCATTTGAATTTTACAGGAATCCAGTGAGGTACATAGGGCAGGTGATTATCATACCCATTTTGTAGAAGAGGAACAAATTGGTTATTAAACATAATTTATAGCAAATAAAATTAGAACACAGCTCACCTGACTTGTAGTTAGTCTTTGAGACTATTATAGATAGCTTCCATATGGTAAGTTTATATACTGTAGCATCTGTAAGTGATTTCCCAGTTAGCTTCTGCTCCTTATCAAACTGTCCCAACATTTAGTGGCATAAAGCAGTAAGTATTCATTATTACATATTTTTCACTCATGAGTCTGCAGGTTGGCTGGGCAATTGTTCTGGTCTTGGCTAAACTTGTCTCTTCTTGGTAAGGGCTTACTCATGCACCTATGATCAGTTGCAAGTTGGCAGAAGGCTGAGTTTGCTGATCTTGGCTGGCCTCTTACACAGCCCAGAGAGGCTTTTTTTGCAGCCTGCCATGCTGGTATGCCTCCCAGTCAATTTGAATGTTGCAGTAAGTTATTGTCGGGGCAAGTTACTACTTTCTTTGCGTTAGCCATTTATGAGTGGAAGAGAAGGAAAATGAAGTAAAATTAATCCACCTTCTCTCTCCAGGGCTTTTTTGATATCCCAGTGGACAATTTGTATGCCGAACCAGCTGTTCTCAAGTGGATAAGGGAGAATATCTCTGAGTGGAGGAACTGCACAATTGTCTCACCTGATGCAGGTGGAGCTAAGAGGTATGGTTGAAATTAGTATTATTCCCAATCTACTGGGAAGATCTCCCAAGGAGTTGTAGTGGTTCTTTTCACGTGAACAAAAGAAGTGATTTTTTTTTTTTAAGTACTTCAGAATGGATGTACCAGTAGCTGGAACATGGATTGGATATAGTTTTACTGGCCTGAGTCCCTACTTGGAAGACAAGACAAAAAAAAGGTCCCTTAAAAAGTCATGGTATTATGGGCTTGACTGCAACATATGAGTAACTTGTCACTGTCAAGTTTACACAGCTGTAAACCTATTGGGAAGGGTAGGAAATTTGGTTTTTTAATGAATGGCAGCTGCTATCGAGCCACATGATTTTAGTGGACAAGTAAGCTTTTACGCACCTATTATAGTGCTGTTGGTTAGACCATTTTGATCCTTGGGATTCAAATATTAAGCAGGAAGATTTCTTTAAAAATTGCTCTGTAGCTAAGATGTCATTAAATCTTTCTTGATGTGTGTGTGTGTGCATGCACACAGAAAAAATAAAAATAAAAGCAGGAAGGAAAATAAAGTATGGCATTTTTATTTAAAGCCAAACCTTAAAATTTTAAATAAGCTAATTGCTAGGGGTTCAGTTACAGTGTTTTATAATAAAGCTCACATGGTACAGGCTAAAAGCTCTTGATTTCCTTAGTGGATTACTCCTTAGTAATGCATTCATGAGTATGACACATGTTCTTGTGGAAATAGAATATAGAGCCACAAAACACAGATGATTAGGAAAAACTAATTTAGACCTTTCTAAAAGCCATTCACATCTTCAATGGCTGTTTCTCAACAACTCCTTTATTTCAGGAACTTCAGCTGAAGTGATTAGCTGAGAACCTTGTTCTGTTATCCAGCCAGATATATGGCTTGGGGAGCCTCAATTATCAGTTACCACATGTAATAACTGAAAAACCAAACCAAATTCATTGCCGTGGAGTCGGCTCTGACTTATAGCAACCCCTCCTTGGGTTTCCGAGGCAGTATCTCTACGGAAGTAGATTGCCCAACCTTCCTTCTGAGGAGTAGCTGGTGGGTTTGAACCGCCAGCCTTCTGGTTAATAGTCAGATGCCTTAGGCACTATGCCACCAGAGCTTGTATGGTATAAAATCATAATGAAAAAAAAATCCAGTAGCAATAAGTCATTTATTGAAAGTAGTTTTTCTGTACCCAACTCTATGTCTAGTATGTAATACCTCCCTACCCCTGATAGTAGTTGTCACAATTGTCTTGTCAGTCATTAGTCTCACATCTTGCCATAGGATTTAGAAAACAGTCACGTTTGAAAATCGAGCAGGATTTTCAAAGGGAATGGCTATCACTTCAGGGTTTTTGGCAGGGTTTTTGAGTGGGTAGAGATCCCTCAACAAGATGGATTGACACAGTGGCTGCAACGATGAGCACAAGTATAGCTAGGATTGTGAGGATGGTGCACAATTGGGCAGTGTTTTGTTCTGTTGTACATAGGGTTGCTATGAGTTGGAGCCAACTTGATGGCTCCTAACAACAACAACAACAGAGATCCCTGTGCAATTGTGATTCATACAGTAGCTATTTACTCGAGGGTGTAGGGAGTTAGTTTTTTAGGTTTCTAGTTTTCTGAGTTTGGAAAGTTTAGGTACTGAAACTAATTGATCATGCATTTGCCTTGATCATAATAAATGTTAATAATTATTTCAAGTAAAGTGGTTGCCATTGATGTTATATGCTCAGGTATAGTGTATCACCAAGCAGTAGAAATGGAGAGTACAGGGTGTCATTTATTTAGATCAAGGTACACAATGGTGCTTAGGTTATAGTTCAAACTTTGTATATTCTTACATGATCAAAGGTTCTCCCTAGTGCAGCAGAAACTGATAGATATGTCAGCTATGACATATCTTACAACCATACTCATAAGGTAAGCAGGGCATGACATTGCAATTAGATCAACATTACCTTAAAAAACAAAATCATTTTTGATTTAAAGAAATCTCTCAGCAAAATAGGAATAGAAGGGAAATTCCTCAAGATAATAAAGGGCTGTACGAAACCAACAGCCAACATTATTCTCAATGGAGAGAGACTGAAAGCATTCCCCTTCAGAATGGAAACTAGACAAGGGTGCCCTTTATCACCACTATTATTCAATATTGTGCTGGAAGTCCTAGCTAGAGCAATAAGGCAAGAAAGGGAAATAAAAATGCACCTAAATTTGTAAGGAAGAAGTAAAACTATCTGCATTCACAAATGATATGATCCTATACAGGAGCTCTGGTAGTGTAGTGCTTAAGGCACTTGACTGCTAATCAGAAGGCTGGTGGTTCAAACCCACCAGCCATTCCTTGGAAGCAAGATGGGGCAATCTACTTCCGCAGTGATACTGCCTCGGAAACACAATGAAGGGTCGCTATGAGTCGGGTCTGATTCGATGGCACATAACAACAACAACAACATGATCCTATACATAGAAAATCTCACGAGATTCCACGAGAAAACTGCTGGAACTAATAGAAGGTTTCAGCAAAGTAGTAAAAAGCAAGATCAGCATATAAAAGTCAGTTGGATTCCTCTAAACCAATAAAGAGAACCTTGAAAAGGAAATCAGGAAAACAATACCAATTGCAATAGCCCCCCAAAAGATAAAATACTTAGGAATAAATCTAACCAGGCATGTAAAAGACCTATACAAAGGAAACAACAAAACACTACAGCAAGAAACCCAAAGAGACCTACATAAAATGGAAAAACTTAACATGCTTATGGATAGGAAGACTTAATATTGTGAAAATGTCAATACTACCCAAATCGATATAATGCAGTCCTGATCTAAAACTCAATAGTATTCTTTAACAAGATAGAAAAACTAATCACAAACTTTATATGGGAAAAAAGAGGCTCCAGAGAAGTAAAGCATTGAAGAATAAGAACAAAGTAGGAGGCCTAACACTACCTGATCTCAGAACCTACAACCATGGTAGTCAAAATAGACTGGTACTGGTACAGTGACAGACACATAGACCAGTGGAACAGAATTGAGAACCCAAACATAAATCTATTCACCTATGGACAGCTAATCTTCAACACAAGGCTATAGTCCACTGAATGGGAAAGAGACAGTTTCTTTAACAAATGATGCTGGCAAAACTTGTTGTCTATCTGTAGAAAACCAAACCAAGACCTATACTGCACACAATATACAATAACTAACTCAAAATGGATCAAAGACCTAAATATAAAACTGCAAAGATCATGGAAGAAAAAATAGGGCAACACTAGGGGCCCTAATACATGGCATAAATAAAATACCAAACATAATTGAAAATGCTTAAACAGCAGAAGATGAACTAAATGGGGACTCCTAAAAATTAAAGACTTATGCTCATCAAAAGACTTCTCCAAAAAGAGAACCTGTAGACTGGGAAAATAAATTTTGGCTATGACATATCCAACAAGGGTCTAATCTCGGAAATTTATAGAAAACTTCAACACCTCAAAAACAAAAAGCAAGCAACCCAATTGAAAAATGGTCGGAGGACATGAATGGACACTTCATCAAAGAAGACCTGCAGGTGACTAACAAACCCATGAATATTTATTATCATTATCATTAGCCAAACCAAACCAAACTCACTGCCATAGTAACCCTCATTGGATTCCAAGGCTGTAAATCTTTATGGAAGTAGATTGCCTTATCTTCTTCCTGCAGAGCAGCTGGTGGGTTTGAACCACTGACCTTTTGGTTAGCAGCCAAATGCTTTAACCACTACACCACCAGAGCTTCTTAATCATTAGCCATTAGATACAAATCAAAACTAAAATGAGATACCATCCCACCCCAACAATAATGGCACTAATAAAAAAAAATAAAACAACTAAGGTTGTGGGGAGATTGGAACTCTTACACATTGCTGGTAGGAATGTAAAATGGTGCAACCACTATGGAAAATGGTATTCTGCTTCCTTAAAAATGCTAGAAATAGAAATAACCATACGATCCAGAAATCCTACTCCTAGGTAGATACTGTAAAGAAATAAAAGCCGTGATGCGACTAGACATGCACACCAATGTTCATTGCAGCACTGTTCACAATAGCAAAGAAGTGGAAACAACCTAAGTGCCCATCAACAGATGAATGGATAAATAGTGTGGTAAATACACGAAATGGAATACTATGCAACAATAAAGAATAATAACGAATATGTGAAACATCTCACAATACAACATAGATGAA